TCTGGATGGTTTATGGCCCATGTTTAAGATGTTCAAGAAACAGATGTTCTCAAGACTTAAGGAAAAAGCACAACATTCTCCAGATTGTGAAAACAATCTTATTTTCATTTTCTAGATCTTACTGAGAACATGTACGAGGAGGACCATTACCGGATAGGATGGGTCTCGGTGAAGAGCAGAGCTGTCTCGGGGCTCCCTGAGGCCTGTGTGAGGATGTGACAACACCGCCCGCCATGTTATTAACTTGTGCCTACCCAGGCTTCCTCTGCCCCGTGGCCGCTGCTGTGCTGTCTTCATCGAGGCTTCCTCTGAATGGTTTTTGTCTCTAAATACATTTCAGATTCAGAGCCAATCACCCTGACGCAAGCTTTCCAATCTAGAACCACTGGCAGTATCTTCAGGACACACCGGGCAGTGGGCATGCCTGTGCTCACTGTCAGAGGGCCCTCTCGGAAGCTGTCAGAGACGCTGTGAGGCTTGGGAAGAGCATGATGAGGTGACAGGCCTGTCGTAGCAGACGAGGGGACCTCAGGCCATTTGCAGGAATGAAGAAGCCCCAGCAGGTTCCATATTTACCCAAAAAGCTTTGGAAAGCAAGGAAAAGAGATCAGGGCCCAGATTCCTTCGTCCTCCTCCCAGCCTGGAATATCATTCACTATGACAAGAGCAGCCCTTTCGTGGCTTCAACTCTCACTGATGTTGCCTCTTTTTGTCTTGGGTTTTCTTCAGTTTTCTTTAGAAACCGGGACCCCCCCTGGGTTGGGGGCAGGTGGGACTAAGTCTTTTTTTTCCTAACAGCTTTATTGAGGTATAATTTACATCCCATAAAATTCACCTGTTTTAAGTACGCAGTTCAATGATTTTTAGCAAATCTACAGAGCTGTGCAACCATCACCATAACCAGTTTTAGAACATTTCTGTCACCCTCATAAGATCCTTCATGTCCATTTGCAGTCAGTCCCTGACTCCACACCTGGGCCACCACAAATCTTTCTTTCTCTCTAGATTGCCTTTTATGGACATTTCACAGAAATAACATCATACACTATGTAGGTCTTTGGCGTCTGACTCCTTTCACTGAGGACTCAAGTCTTCCTGTTCATTCCATGGATGACTGTTAAGTGAATGAAAACGAGAATTGCAAATAAAAACCACATCTGAGAGAGCACTTTGCAATGAAGTAATTTTGTGTCACCATTCAACTAATTCAACGAAAGTTTCATAACATTTCCACATGTCTATTTTGGTTCAGTGTGGTTTGGAAATACCTACTGTATTTAGTGTTAGGTTTTATGTAGACTATTATTTAGTAAGAACAAAAGGACTCTTTTGATGTTCAAAATGAACTTGAAGTTGCTGAGTTTAAACTTTTGAAAATTAAGAACAGCCTGTGCCGTGCCAGATAAAAACTGATCATTACATTGGATAAAGAAGATATGGTTTATATATACAATGGAATACTACTCAGCCATAAAAAAGGATAAAACCGTCCCATTCACAACAACATGGATGGACCTTGAGGGTATTATGTTAAGTGAAATAAGCCAGACAGAGAAAGACGAACTCTGTACGACTCCACTCATAGGTGGAAGTTAACACATAGACAAAGAGAACTGATTGTTGGTTACCAGGGGAAAGGGGGGGTGGGGGGAGGGCACAAAGGGTGAAGTGGTGCACCTACAACATGACTGACAATAATGTACAACTGAAATCTCACAAGGTTGTAAACTATCATAACCTTAATAAACAGTTTAAAAAATAAAAAACCTGATCATTGCATTCCTAGAGCGCAGAATGTGCCTTAGCACCTCAGTATCTTTATCCGTTAACCTGATGATGGAGTTGCCCCATTTTGAAGAGACCATGCGGGTGATGAAATGGAGAATCAGAGAAGTCTCTTAGACACGGTGTCTTTACTCTACATTCGGTCTAACTCACAGTAAAGGAATGTTGAAGCCTTTTATAGTTGATCATGAATGGGGAGGGAGGGAAGAAAGAATCACAGACTTTCCAAGCTAGAAGGGGCTCCTTGGTGGTCTTCTGCTCAACCTCTCCCTTTGCAGACGACACTGATGTTATGACAAGTTAAGCGACCTGCACGGACCTGTGGCCCCGTGGGACAAGAATCTGCAGTTTCTCACTGGGGTTCCCACTACGTCAAGCTGCTCCCTCTCACAGTCAGCTGGTATGGAAGGACGAGTTGGGGAGTGACTTATTATCAAGGACGTCAGGACAAACCTTAATGAAAACTGTCGTTGGGTCTTTAATGAGAAGGAGGGCTGTATAGTCTAACAGACTGTCTGGAAATCAAAAGTCATGGGCAATCTATTCCCCGGGAAGCCCATAACCTTCTCCACAGTCTCGCCGGCCTTCTCTGGGGGCAGCCCTGAGTTTCTTCCGGAAGCTGGCGGCTCTAACTTTTCTGGAAGCAAGTCACAGATACACGCAACAGCCAGCTGGTACCAAGGTGTTTTATCAGGTCTGTGTTTGGGGATGGTGCTGGGCTATGACGTTGGTGGTCACAGGGGGCAGGGAGGCCAAGGCAGGAAGGCTTTGCTAGTCCAGGAGGCTGTGGGCACACAGGATTTCGAGTCCAGCAGGCAGCATTAACATACAAGGTCTTGGGATGGCCTGAGACGTGAACCGTACTCACAAGGCTGGGGGACAGGCAATTCCCACCTGAAGATCCATCTGTAGGGTCCAGGGGACCAGTCCAGGTCTGGGGAATGAGACAGGAGCCCAGGCCTTGGGAAGATGATCAAGATATGAGGCATTTTACCAAAACAGGGCTGAGGTAGAAATCCAGTGGAATTTGGGCACAGGGGGATAATAATGACGCACATCGTTTACTGACCCAGGTATTACGGAAGGGGCTTTACACACTTCTAGAGCTCAGCACAGCCATATGAAGCAGACACTCTCCTCTCCAGTGTTTGGAGGAGGACACCGAGGTCCCGAGAGGCTAAAGGACTCACTCAAAGTCGCACAGCTGGTAAGCAGGGGAACCAGCATGCAAACGCTCTGCAGAGGCAGAATTCTTAATAACACTGCACTGGACAGCTCCAATCCCTTTGCCCAGGGAGAAGGGTTAAAGCTATGTGGCTCACATCATAATTCTGGACAGTGTTGGGCACAGAGCAGTGATGATGAGTGAGAGATCGGAGGGGAAAATATAAGACTGTTCTTGGAGAGAAGAAACCATTCTTTGAGCAATGCGAAAACCACAGGTTACCTGAGTTTTTTTTTTCCTCCTGTGGGAATGTATTGAGTTCTCTCCTAGAGATGGCCGGGGACATCCATTGGAAGGAGAATTATCATGACCACCAGCACTGGCAGCTATGGGCAACTCTCAGTTCTCGACAATTCCAAAATCTGCTTTGGCTTTCAAAGCTGAGAAAAATTCTGATTTTGCGTGCCAGCCGTAGATGACTGTGGTACCCCAACCTGCTCCACCAAGGAGCCTGCCAAGAGCTTTGCGGAGACTCTGAAAGGGGTTGGGTGGTGGAGAAACTCCAAGGCAATGTTAGGAAGCACCCCGCCCCCGCTCCTTGTCATTTTTCTCTTCTTTATTCTGTTATTAAAACTCTCCCCTTTAATTAATCTCTTCCAGACTAATAAGCCCAAATGGCCTCACTAAGCTGTTAAAAGTCAGTTAACTGCAGACAAGGTGGCATTTCTGTTTCACCCACAGTGGCTCACACCTCCCCCTGGCCCACTGCAGATTCTAGAATGTGTGCTGAACTGGTCACTGGGCTCCATCAGCATCTCCTGTGCAAAAAGGACCCACCCAAGGGTCTGTAGATAGCACAGCCCCAGTGTGGCTCTGGGAGAGTTACTGTGGAAGAAACACTCCATCAGACCCTGACATCCCGCCCTCCCCACGGCTGGAACACCAAACTCCCATGGGCAGCCTCAGTCTGTCCTCAGCGTGGGGACCAATCCTTCCGGCAGAGCCAGGATGGGAGGTGCTCAGCAAGAAGCCACTTGTACACAATTTGGGCTCTGACTCAGGCCGTGACTATGCTAGACAGTTCGCAAACCAAATTCTGGGACACTTTTAGCTTGAGTGCCTCTTAGATCTTCTGGACAGGATTCTGCAGGGATAAGGCCACTGATGTCAAAGAAATGACCCAGTGCAGCCTTCAGGGCCTGATGATGCTATAGATGTCCTTGCCTTCTCCTCTGTCTCAGTGCTGGCAATGCCTTGCGCTTCCTTGACTGTTACCACTTGCCTCGGAAACACGACTTTCTCCAGCTTCACTTACAACTTCAGAACCTGCTGTCTTTTATTTTTCTCACCACTTAAAACGTGTGGCGTATTTTTTTTCTTTATCTAACAGCTTTATGGAGATATAATTCACATGCCATACAATTCGCTCATTCAAAGTGTACAATTCAACGGTTTTCGGCGTTTTCATTGTCGTCCAACCATCACCATCATCAGTTTTAGAATGTGTTCATCACCCCAAAAAGTAATCCCGTGCCCATTAGCAGTCACGGCCCTTCCTCCTGATGCCTCCCTCTGACTCCGTCCCCGCCCCCGGCAATCACCAATCTACTTCGTCTCTATGGAACTGCCTATTCTGGATGTTTCATATTAACAGAATCATGCAATATGGGGTCTTTTGTGGCTCGCTTCTTTCACTTAGCATGGTGTTTTCAACATCGTTCATGTTGTAGTACAAATCAGTACTTCGTTCCTTTTTTACGGCGAGTAATAGTCCATTATGTGCCACTCTGTTTATCTATTCACCAGTTGAGGGACATCTGGTGTTCCCACTTTTTGACCATTATGAATAACGCTGGAATGAACACTCCTGGGCAAGTTTCTGTGTGGACATGTGTTTCCATTTCTCCTGTGTATACACCTAGGAGTGGAATTGCTGGGTTATATGGTAATTCTATGTTTATATTTAACTTGTTTGTTTGTTTTGTTTTGTTTAAACTTGGGAGACATTTCTTACTTTCCCGTATCACCATCATGGATATGAGTGGCTAAATCTTCTATCTCCTTAGGAAAACAGAGCACTATTGAGTGACAATTGCATCCTACGGAGAACTCCAATCTTTGGTCACAGTGCTAAGAGCTCCTGGTTTTAGTCCTACAAGCCCTCTTTGAAATGACCTAAATATTTAACCTTTTGAGGAACTCATCATTTTACAGATGTTCCTCACCTGCCAATAGTCCTTCCAAATTAGTCTATTTAAATACAGCTCAATCCCATTACTAATCAGACAGGTGGGTGCACGTGGCATTCAGGATGCGGCCCCTAACCAACCACCCTCCCCTAACCCAGACTACGGGAACGAAACGAGAACAGCCAGGTCCTCTTACGAAAGAGGAAACTGAGGCCTGGGGAGGGGGTGTTTCAAGGCTGCGTGGCTCAAGTCCCAGTACCAATGCCTCCTCCAGCTCCAATGCTCTTAGCACAGGGCCACGGCCAGCGGATGTCGGGGCCCCAGGCAAGTGTGCCCTTGGGGTGGCGCCAGTCCGCCATCCTCACTCACATGCTGGTCATGCCAACAGCACATCCCCGGTCCTCCTAAGGCTTCAAGCTCACAGGCATCTTCTAAGAAAGTCAAATTAACAACTTAAGATACATTCTAATTTATAAGATGCTTTTAACTTACACTGTGAGTACCTGTCTGTGTTACATTTTCTGCAGCATCACTTTTAAAGGTTTCAAAATATTTCATTGTATATACTACGTACTACAGTCACATATACATTTTATATGATATAAATATGTACATTACTTATATACTAAAGTAAATAACTTATTTAATCACCTATTTTGGATTCCTGCTTTATTTAAAATTTTTAACTATTACGAACAACGACGCGATAAAAACCTTTGCAACTAAATCTTCTGACACAGCCTGCATTTTTCAGGAAAAATGTTAGGAGGAGAACCGCTGGGTCAGAAAGCATGTCATTTTAAAGGCTGTTTATACAGATTGCCAAGTTCCTTCCAGGAAGGTTTTCCCAATTTTCACTCTTACCAGCAGTGTTGGCGGGGGAGGGAGGGGCCACGGGCACATTTCCATGAAACCCTGGCCAACACTAAACATTATTATTTTAAGAAACATAACTATCTTTTTTTACCCATCAGATGTTGTACATTGATTTGCAGCTAATTATGGGATTTCAGTAAAAGCCACTCTGTTTTACAGGAACATAGACAACGTGCCCTTTTCTTTCCCAGACCAGCTAGCACGGGCCGATGGCTGACCTTGAAAGTCCAGTGGAACAGCTGTGATGTGGAACACGGTGCAAAGTACCCCAGGGAGGGTCATGGCTCTTGGGCTCTTGTGACCACACATGCAAATCACTCATGATTCCTGAGCCTCACCTCCTATGTATGTAACACGTGTGTTGTAAAGGATGTGGAGGATGTCTAAGACATGAGGCTGCATCCCCAGATTCGAAGAAGAAATATTTCCTTCATTCTCTTCTTGAGATATGTGCCATTCACAGTCTTAGCCAGAGAATTTAGCGCAGAGTATATTATTTTGCACTACGTCATAAGAAAATAATTGAATTGTCTTTCCAGAAACATCCCTCTTGTCTGTCCCACAGGGGTTGGCACAACCCCTATTACTGTCGACACTGATGAAATGTGCTGATCCCTTGATGTAGGACGTTGTAGCAAACATGATGTGTGTACACTGCAATTTTTTAACGAGCTTGTTGAACTGAACTCTTAGAAATCTTTCCCCTTTAAAAGCTTGGTGATTTTTCCTTAAAAAAAATTAATAGACAACATTTATCTAGAATGCAGACCTTTATTTAGAAGGTTAGGTACTCAGCACTGTGTTACATATATTGCTCAATTAATTCTCAAAATCACCCTAAAGTAAAGGCAGCTACTATAGTTACCCCCACTTCGCAGATGGGGCAACGGAGGCACACAGAAAAACAGCCCAGGCTACAGAGCCAGGCAGTGGTGAACTAAGATTCGACCCTCGTTGGTTGAACCTGAGTCTGAACTTGAACCTCGACTTCAGAACCAGATCCACCTGGAGCGCATCTGACACATACATACTAAGCTCTTAGGTCTTAGTGATAAGATAATTTAAAAAACCACTGTTGATGAGAAAGTATATTTCAGATATTCTTCTGAAAAGAATGAAGCATGCAGACAAAGATACCATTGGTAGAGCCACAGTGCTATTCAACATATTTTTTGAAGAATAGAAGTCAGTCACAAAAGCAGTACATACCCCAGCATGCTATTTATATAAATTTCTAGAATAGGCAAAACTCATCTGTTGTGATAGAGATCAGATCCATGACCACTTCTTAACAGGGAGATTAACTGGAAGGGGTACGAGGGAACTTCTTGGGGAGAGAGAAACATACCAGCAGGAGTGTGGATTACACAGGTATGTGGGGTTGTCAAAACTGGTGGAACTGATCGCACACTCAAGGTGTGTGCAATGCACCGTATGCAAATTATATCTCGAAATAAATTTTTTAAAACCACCCCTCCCCCACCTCACTAAATAATCCAGTAATTGCCAAGAGTTGACGATTCATCTTAACCATCTCAACAGGAAGGCTTCTGAGCGAGTGTTCAGTGTGCATCTGGACATTTACAACAAGGTACCCACGTTTCTGGTAATGGCTTTTGCACACTCACGTCAGCCTGTCGGTCAAATTTTCTCACAGTTCATGTTTTAGTAAACGGATTTGCGAAGCGGACGGTCTCTCCTGAGCTCGGGAAGGGTGGTCGCAGGAGGAGAACGGGGAAGGCAGCGGGCCCTCCTCTCCAGGGAGAAGGGCAGGGAGCTACCTGCCTGAGTGTGAGCTTCAGACCTCGAGGTCTTCCCTGGAGCAGGAAGACCAACAGCGAGGTGGGGTTTTCCAGGATGCACGGCCAAGCCACGCTCAGGAGCACACCCCGCCGGGGGCCACGAGCAGGGATGCTGACATTGGAGGACACACACTGACCACAAGACAGCTACCCCACAGAATCTGAGCAGAAGAGCCGTGGGGAAAAGCCACAGTGACTTGAAGGCCCATATTCAATGGCAAAAGGAGTTTCCCAGCAGACGAGGAGCTTGATTAACAGCACTGGGGCTTTGGAAGGCCATGTGTTGGAACGTGGGCCCCAGCTTCTATTTAACACGCAGCCCAGCTGGGTAGGACCAGGGCTCGCAAACTCAACATGAGGCAACTGTCAAAAGACCCCCCCATTTTAAAAGGACTAGTGAGATGAGCTATTCCAGCAACAACTGGACCCACTCACTCACCTTGGGAAAACAGGATATTGCTGTAAATATGCACATTAAAAAGTGTCCTTCCTTTTTCTACACGCTCTTGGGCTCCTGTGTGCCTCTCTTTAGATGATAGCCCCACGGTCCACGGGCTGGCCAGACACCGTTCCTGTTCTCAAGAGAGCCTGATGGAGTGTTAGCAACATGCCAGCAAAGGTTTCCAGGCTGCCCGCGAACAGAACATTTAGGGTAGCTTTCTTTGATGGTTGCTTCACAGCCAGATGAAAACCAGCCACGAGGGGAGTGTATTTCAGAAATAAAGCGCAGCCAGCGGAATGCAGGGTAACAAGCAGGCGTGACAATAGGGTGACCGATGCTGAAGGAGCCGTGCCGACACCCCTCACACATAGCCGATGGATGGGCTGGCTCCCCGCGCTTGGATAAGTTATTTAGCCTCATCTGGTTCGGTGATTTGCAAACCACATATGCAGATATCAGGGCCAGAGCCTCCATCGAGGCCCTGCTGAAACCAGGGAAGTTTTAGGGCGCCTGTGATGGAGTCGGAATGTTTGCGTCTGTGTCACCTCAAGGAGACGAGCCATCTGACGGTCAGTCTGTAGGAAATCAGGAGACTAGAGATGCTGACCCCAAGGAAGGACAACCCCTGCTGGCTGATCTTCCCACCTCCCTGCCCACTGTCCTCGCTTCCCAGGAGTTCTCTGGTCATTCTGACAGGCACCTTGGGATCAACCCTCGGCTGGCTTGCTTGGATGCCACTGCCTGCGGTCAGGTTTAGGTGAGGGGAACGGTCAGCGTCTGAAGGGAGCTCAGGAGGTTTAGCAAACAGCCTAATGGGGATTTACTGGAGAGGCCCATCGGTCAGGACCCTTACGCCAACACAGCGGCCACTACAGCCGTCCCGTCCTGTGGCTGCACATCGCAGAACCCCGATTACCCTGTGTGGCCGTTGCACACATGCAGGCCGCTGCCCGGGTGCCTGGGGGAGAGGCGGAGAGCACCCCGGCATCTGCAGTCAGCTCATCTGTGGGGGCCGAGCCAGCCCTTTCCAGTGCCCTTGGCAGCCTGAGGGTGCAGGGAGAGTGGCTCTCCACACTGCCTCTCTGGAGCATCCAGGGCAGAACGGTGGGGAGCTGGGGCTGAGCAGAACCTCCAGACCTTGAGACCCCTCACCTCCCGGCAAAGGCGGTTCAATCTGACAATGGCGGCGCCACATTAAAGAGGGCTTTTTTAAGGAGGGCGGAAAAAGCCTCTGGAGCAAGCTGTGGCCTTTACCTGGCGTGAGGACAACCTCTTCCCTCTGCCCTGTCCACACCCGGGCTGCAGCACCTCCCTTTGACCTTGACTTCGGCTGAAGAGCTGGTAGTGGCCGCTGCCCTCCTGGTCACGCTCTGGGGCCCCTCAGACCCTGCGGGCAGGTCAAGAGGAGATGCTCTATGCTCATCTCAGAACTGCAGACCTGACTGCAGGGGCCAACCTTCCCCGGGTCCCACCCAGCTGAGGCCTCCAAACTGCCCAGTGTTTTAGGAAACGGGGCCTGAAGGCACTCGGTGATCAGGATCCTGCAAGGCATGGAGAGAAGCCAGGCTGGAAGGATGGCTGAAGGCGCCTGCTCTGGCCTCCTCTCGGCTTCCACCAATTCTGTGCTGAGCCCAGGCACAGCCCTGATCCTGCTCACGCCTCCCCTGGCGGGAGACCCATCACGGGAAGGTGGCCTCAGCTCTGCAAAAACGTGTAAGGTAGCGACTCTCCCATGGCTGCTGAGGCTCTGGGGATCAGCCTAACCTTAGGCTTCTTCCAAGACAGCTTTTGGAAAGAGGTCTCCATGCTGCCCCTTCTCCCTCCTTGGCCTCGGCACGACTGACCTTGCAGCCAGATAATCCTTTGTG